CGCTTAACCAACGGAGCCACCCAGGCGCCCCTAGCTCCAACATTTAACTCATTGCGTGTTATTTCATGTATATTCTTACCCACTTCCTACTCTTAGAAATTATTTTTGAAGCAAATCCCAGTCGTAATATAATTTTGTGCGTAAGTATTTCAAGGTACATGTCTATAAGGACTCTCATATTTATATATTTATATAATTTATATATATAATATATGTATATTTATATCACAATAACATTTTCACACCTAACAATTAATAATTCCTTAATACTGTTTTATGTCCAACCCGTGTTCAAATTCTCAATTCTGTCATAGTTGTTTTTTTTTTTTTTAATAGTTTGTTTGGATCAGGTTCTAAATAAAACCTAACATGTATTGCTGCTTTCAGGATACTCGTTTTGTCTTTGGCTTTGACAATTCGACTATGATGTGTCTTGGTGAGTGTATTCTGCAAGTTCATATCTGATGTTGAACTTTTCTATTGAATTTTTAATTTCAGCTACTGTACTTTTTAGCTCCAGAATTTTGTTAGTTCCTTTTAATAATTTCTTCCTGTTTATTCATTTTCCATATTTGGTGAGACATTATTCTCCTGGTTTATTTTACTTCTTTGTCCATGGTTTCCTTTAACTCTTTGAGCATATTAAAGACAGTTGACTTAAAATCTTTCCCTAGTAAGTTCAGCTTCCTCAGGGACAGTTTCTACTAATTTCGTTTTTGCTGTGAATAGGCCATACTTTCTTTGCATGTTTTATAATTTTTTGCTGTTGAAACTGGACCTTTTGAATATTATAATGTGGCACCTCTAGGAATCCTATTCTTCCCTCTCCTCAGGATTTTTTGCTGGTTGTTGTGGGCTGCTGTTTGTTTGTTTAGTGACCTTTTGTGAAGTCTGTATTCTTTTATCATGTGTACCACTAAAGTCTGTTGCCTAAGCCTAGTGATCAGCTGGTGTTTTGACCGTTAAATACCTGGAGCCAGTAAAAGAAAAAAAAGAAGAAACACTCTCAGTTTTTGCAAATTGGTCTGTGCTGGGGAACTCATTCACTGCTTATCCAGACCGTTTTCAACTCTGCATTAGTTTTCACTTCCTACTTGCACAGAGTCTGAACGCCAGCCAGAGGTGAAAGGCCTCCTCAGGCCTTGGAAGCACTTGCATCCCATCCTGGGCATATGTGTGGTCTTCTCAATCTCCCTGTATATTGGGGAGCTTTTAAAATCTCTTATTCTCCCATGTATCTCCTTTTCCAGCCTCTTCCTCCCAGCTTTCTCATTCTATTTATTGTTTGTCCTCAGTACTGTCCTTTGCCCCAACCTGCTAGGTCTAATACCCAGGCCTTTAAATGCTTTTGGCAAAAGCCACTCCACTCCTGGGAAGGCTCTGAGGCAAAATATAGAGAAACCTTGTGCTCTCCGTGAGAAGGACCTGACAGATGGTAGAGACCCATAGACACAGTTCTTTGAGAATAAGGTCCATAATGTTTCTTCTGGTACTAGCAACCTTCATTAACCGATCTAGAGTGTTGGTGATGGTGGGGTGGCAATTTAAAATGCCATGGCACTCTCTTACTGCAATTCAGGAGCTTTTCTCTTCAACTAGTTTTCCTCTCGTTGTTGTAAGTTTTTATTAGATTCCAGAGTCCTGCAAAAGTTGATTCTGACCATTTTTGGCATGGAAACTTTGAGTTCCCTACTCTGCCATTTTTCGTGATGTCATCTCTCTCTTTATATTTTTCAATTCTTTACAATGTAATGGCAGTATACAATTACTTTAAAAAATTATCCCCTTTAAGGGGCACCTGGGTGGCTCAGTTGGTTAAATGTCCAACTCTTGGTTTCAGCTCAGGTCATTATCTCACTGGTTGTGGGATCAAGCCCCATGTCTGGCTCTGTGCTCAGTGGGAAGTCTGCTTGAAGATTCTGTCCCTTTGCCCTTCCCCCCACTCATGCACTTACTGAAGACTCTTATGTTGGGAGCTCCTTGGTTCTCATTTTTGGCCGCCTTCCCCTTTCATGCCATGATCTCTGCTTAAGCAGCCATCTCATCTATACCTATATCTTCAATCTCCATCCACCCATATGATTCTTGCATTTCCCTCTCTAGTTCAGTCTCTGATCTAAATATCTTGCTACAGGGCACCTGGGTGGCTCAGTCGTTAAATATCTTGCTACATTCTTAACATCCCCATGGGGTACACAAAGATATAGAGAAATCAAGATGGTCCATTATGTTCCCTCCAAAAAAGATCCATTATGTGTTGCCCATTCCAGCTAACATTACTACCTATCACATAGGTGATCAGGCGAGTCATCTGAGAATCCCACTGACACTTCCCTTTTATACTCCCGCTGCCCAATTTTCATATCTTTCATGAGTTCATCTCTTTGTTCATTCATGAATATGTTCACTCATCTGGTAGAGAGAGGAATATTGCTGTGTCAGGGGAAAAGGGGAATAATGACACAATCACAGTCCTAGAGTGGGTGATCATTGCAGTGAAAAGGGGCCACCTCAGTAAGATTTGTCACATGAGAGAAAGTAAGGACCATAGTTTCTGATGTGGGTAATTTGGTAGGTTTGGTGGTGGGAACATATAGGCAATCTCTTCTGTGATAGCATCTACTTTTCCAAAGAAACAAGAAGCCTAAAGAGCAGTTGAGAATGTTGAGGTGTGAGACAGTGTTGAGGGTTTGTGCAGGTGTTGTGTCATAGGGGTCTCAGATATTGAGAAAGTATATTGACTATGAAAATATGTGAAGATTACTAGCCAAGTCTGAGTACTGCTCCCTATCCTGCATTCGCTTTGCTTCAACCTTAACTCTCACAGCTCTCCTACATTTTCCACCAGGCTCCAGCCACACTGGCTTTTTTTCCTCCTTTTTGGGAACAAGTCATGCTCACTTCCACTTCAGAGTCTGCTGTTCCCTAGTCTAACGTCAAAAGATTTTTACACACACACATCTCTTTCTTGTTATCCAGTTCTCAGATGAAAAGTCACGTGCATAGCATGGCCTTCTCGTGATAAAGCATGGCACAACTCCAGGGATCATCATGCATATTGTAATCTAAGTACATGATGGTCTTTGAAATTGTTAAACTGGATGGCCTTGGACATCCTTCACTGCCCTCTCCATAAATGTAATTTTCCATCCCATTTCCCTTTTTTACTTTCTTCGTGGCACTCTTCACCCACTGAAATTACATTGGTTATTGTTAACTTTATGTGTATCCAAAAGAGAATGTAAGCCCCCTAATGGGAAAGGCCTTTCCT